GTGAAAGAGACTGAGGGCTGATGACAGTGGGTTTGCAAAACATCATGCTAGTTATGTATTTTACTTGATGATACCAGTCAGTCGTTGTTTTCATTTTTTTTCTCAATGCTTTTCACCAGTATGCAATTTTATGTATTCTGCCCTGGAATAGGAACTTACTCCCTTCAGAAAGTCTCAGATGTGATTTTCTGCTGTGTTCCTAAGAGCCAAAATTTCTGGCCTCCATTACGCAAAAACTGAACAATATAAAGCTGAGTGGATTGGTGAGTCGCAGGGTCCTTAAGCGCTCCTACTTTTTCACGTTTTCGCGATTTCCGACCTGCTGTGGTGTAGTCGATCATTGGTTAAGTGTTTCTTTTTGTGTTATGAAGCTTCACATCTGCTAGTTGCCTTAAAAATGCTCTTGGATATCTTGAGACCACAGCTTGCACGAGGTCAGAGGGGAAAGCAATATAACCACCCGCTCCCCAACTATTTATGTAGAAAGGCTAGCTGGATAGGAAGGAACGTAGTGCCATTGTAGAAAACAAAAAATTAGTCAGACCCATGAAAAGTAGGAAACAGAATTGGTTTTTCAAATACTGGTCTTCTTTTTACTAGTCACTCAGTTCAATGAGGGAGTTGCCATTTGGTAAATATTGGTCAGTATTGATGTCCTGCTCCATCAAGTAACTGGGTTTTTGTTTTGAGTTTTGAAAACATTCATCCCGTTCGGCTCCATTTCTTGGTGTTTAGTGAAGTCAAAGCTTGGACACAAGGACTAGCGTTAAGAAGGCGGGAACAAATCCACAACTGATTGTGAACTCTTGGAAATACGCCCAGTCTGACTTGCCTTAAAGTCATATATCAATTCACCATTTTCCAGCTGCCACTATATGAGGAAGATCTCCCGCCGAGAGAGTATGTCTTCGTTGAAGAAGAACCTCTGCCACTTCAGAGAGAGTTTGCCACTATTCGAAAATCATTCCAAGCCGAGTATAATAGAGTCGCGGTACGTATTCATCAGTTTTGTTTAGAAGCCTACGCTTTGTCAACTATTCAGTGACTTTTTTGTATACCATTAGAAGTCCAGTGGCTGAGAACTTTGTGACGCGATGTAACAACCGCATGGTTGCAGGGGGTTTTTCTTACAAAGCTTGGGAAAAAGGAAGGAGGAAACAAAGGGCTCTAGGTGGGCGTTGGGTTGGAAAGTGCTTACTTAGCTTCATTGCTTTACTTGTTGGGGTAGAATGGTAAGATTTCGGCAGTGCCCGCTCTACTGATTCTTGCCCGCTCTACTGATTCTTTAAACGATGCATCTCACTATCGTGTGACTTTATTATAGTGAGTTACTAGCCCCAAAGTGAAATAATATGAGAATTTTGCAGGAACAGTTCCAGTTCGTGGACAAAACTGTTCAAAAGTCAAAA